GTATTGCTGGACGTATGCAATATGTATGACACTACCACCAAAGCTATAGGTCTCCACGTAGGGGACGCCTCTGGTAGGGCACCTGGGAAGGCCCCTGAGGGTACCGCCGCCCCTTGGGGCGTCACCGCCAATGGAAGGTCCCCTGGGGGCATGGGTGACCCTGAGGGGAGCCCCTGGGGGCATCGGTGCGCCTAAGAAGAGCCCCTGCTGACGACGTGACCCCTTGGCGGACCCCTGGGGGCGCCACCACACCTGAGAGCTCCCCTGAAGGCACCGATGCCCCTGAGGAGACCTGGGAGTATCGCTGCCCCAAAAAAGAGCCCCTGGGGGCGACGTTACCCCCTGGCAGTCCCCTGGGGGCGACGTTACCCCTTGGCGGTCCGCTGGAGGCGATGTTACCCCTTGGCGGTCCCCTGGGGGAAACGTTACGCCTTGGCGGTTCCCTGGGGGCGACGTTACGCCTTGGCAGGCCCCTAGGAGGGCGCCAGCACACCTAAGAGGTCCTCTGGGGGCACCGGTGCCTTTGCGAGGGATCCTATGGGCGCCACCGCACCTGGGAAGGCCCCTAGGTGCCCCACCGCCACTGGCAGAGCCCCTGGGGGCAGCGACACACCTGGGAGAGCCCCTAGGGCGACGCACCTGGTAGGGCAAATGGGAGGGACCCAGCGGGCACTATCACTGGATTGACAGTGGGGGCAGTTGTTTTTGCACATTTAGAACAATGGGATATATGAATAGATACTCCGCCCATCGCATTTCCAGTATCATCACACCATGAACAATGTAAAGGAGAATAAATATCCAACAGGAAAACATAAGTTGGGGTGTTGTGATGACTGACTGTTCTGTTCTCCTATTGGCTGTTTTTTGGATTTACATTTTAGTCCACCAATCACAGTTAAGTAAGGGATTGCTGGACGTATGCAATATGTACGACACTACCACCAAAAGCTATAGGTAGGGCACCTGGGAAGGCTCCTGAGGGTATCGCCACCCCTTGGGACGCTACCGCCTCTAGAAGGACCCTTGGGGGCATCGCTGCCCTTAAGAAGAGCGACAGTGGGCGACGTTACACCTTGACGGGCCCCTGGGGGTGCCACCACACCTGACAGCTCCCCTAGGGGCACCGGTGCCCCTGAGGAGAGCCCCTAGGGGCATCGCTGCCCAAAAGAAGAGCCCCTGGAGGCATCGCTACCCAAAAGAAGATCCCCTGGGGCAATCTTATCCCTTGGCCGGCCCCTGGGCGCGCCACCACACCTGAGAGGTCCCCTGGGGACACAGGTGCCCCTGAAAGGGACCCTGTGGGCGCCACCGCACCTGGGAAGGCCCCTGGGTGCGCCACCGCCCCTGGCAGGGCCCCTGGGATAGCCGCCACCCTTCCCAGGGCCCCTGGCGAAACTGACACCCATGGGACTGCCCCTAGGGCGACGCACCTGGTAGGGCAAATGGGAGGGCCCCAGGCATAACTGGGAGATATCATCATGTTGCATTTTACATCAATGAAGGAGAATAAATATCCAACAGGAAAACATAAGTTGTGGTGTTGTGCTGACTGACTGCTCTGTTCTCCTATTGGCTGATATTTGCATCTACATTCTAGTACACCAATCACAGTTAAGTAAGGGATTGCTGGACGTATGCAATATGCTAGACAGTACCACCAAAAGCTATAGGTCTCCAGTTAGGGAACGCCTGTGGTAGGGCACCTGGGAAGGCCCATGAGGGTAGCGCCGCCCCTTGGGGCGCCACCACCTCTGGAAGGTCCCCTGGGGGCACTGCTGACCCTGAGGGGAGCCCCTAGGGGCATCGCTGCCCATAAGAAGAGCCCCTGGGGGCGACGCTACCCCTTGGCGTGCCCATGGGCGCGCCACCACACCTGAGAGCTCCCCTGGGGGCACCAGTGCCCCTGAGGAGAGCCCCTGGGGGTGACGTTACCCATTGGCGGTCCCCTGGAGGTGACGTTACCCCTTGGCGGTCCCATGGGGGCAACGTTACCTCTTGGCGGGCACCTGTGGGAAACGTTACCCCTTGGAGGGCACCTGAGGGCGCCACCACACCTGAGAGGTCCCCTAGGGGCTCCGGTGCCCTTGAGAGGAAACCTGTGGTCGCCACCGCACCTGGGAAGGCCCCTGAGTGCGCCACCGCCCCTGGCAGGGCTCCTGGAATTGCCGACACCCTTGTCAGGGCCCCTGGGGTCGCCGACACCCCTGGGAGAGCCCCAAGATCGATGCACCTGGTAGGGCAAATGGGAGTGCCCCAGGGCGCACTATCACTGGATTGACCGTGGGGGCAGTTGTTTTTGCACATTTAGAACAATGGGAGATATGAATAAATACTCCGCCCATCGCATTTCCAGTATCATCACACCATGAACAATGTAAAGGAGAATAAATATCCAACAGGAAAACATAAGTTGGGGTGTTGTGCTGACTGACTGCTCTATTCTCCTATTGGCTGATATTTGCATTTCATTTTAGTCCACCAATCACAGTTAAGTAAGGTATTGCTGGACGTATGCAATATGGACGACACTACCCCCAAAAGCTATAGGTCTCCAGGTAGTGGGCGCCTTTGGTAGGGCCCCTGGGAAGGCCCCTAAGGGTACCGTCGCCCCTTGGGGCGCCACCGCCTATGGAAGGTCCCCTGGGGGCACCGCTAACCCTGACGAGAGCCCCTGGGGGCATCGATGCCCCTAAGAAGAGCCCCTGTGGGCGACATTACCCCTTGGCGGTCCCCTCTAGGTGAGGTTACCCCTTGGCGGTCCCCTGGGGGCGACGTTACCCCTTGGCCGGCGCCTGGAGGCGCAACCACACCTGAGAGGTCCCCTGGGGGCACCGGTGCCCCTGGGAGGGACCCTCTGGGGCCACCACACCTGGGAAGGACCCTGGGTGCGCCACCGCCCCAGGTAGGGCCCCTGGGAGCGCCGCCACCTTTGCCAGGTTCCCTGGGGCCACCAACACCCCTGTGAGAGCCCCTAAGAGTGACGCACCTGGTAAGGCAAATGGGAGGGCCCTAGGGCGCACTATCACTGGATTGACCGTGGGGGCAGTTGTTTTTGCACAATTAGAACAATGGGAGATATGAATAAATACTCCGCCCATCGCATTTCCAGTATCATCACACCATGAACAATGTAAAGGAGAATAAATATCCAACAGGAAAACATAAGTTAGGGTGTTGTGCTGACTGACTGCTCTGTTCTCCTATTGGTTAATATTTGCATTTACATTTTAGTCCACCAATCACAGTTAAGTAAGGGATTGCTGGACGTATCCAATACGTACGAAACTACGACCTAAAGCTATATGTCTCCAGGTAGTGGAGGCCTCTGGTAGCGCCCCTGGGAAGGCCCCCAAGGGTACCGTCGCCCCTTGGGGCGCCACTGCTTTTGGATGGTCCCCTGGGGGCACCGCTAACCCTGAGGAGAGCCCCTGGGGGCATCGCTGCCCATAAGGAGAGCCCTTGTGGGCGACGTTACCCCTTGGCGGGCCCCTAAGGGCGACGTTACCCCTTGGCCGGCGCCTGGGGGCGCTACGACACCTGAGAGGTCCCTTGGGGGCACCGGTGCCTCTGGGAGGGACATTGTGGGCGCCACCGCACCTGAGAAGGCCCCTGGATGCGCCACCGCCCCAGGTAGGGCCCCTGGGAGCGCCGCCACCCTTGCCAGGGACCCTGAGGGCACCGACACCCCTGTCAGAGCCCCTAAGAGCGACGCACCTGGTAGGGCACATGGGAGGGACCCAGGGGTCACTATCACTGGATTGACCGTGGGGGCAGTTGTTTTTGCACATTTAGAACAATGGGAGATATGAATAAATACTCCGCCCATCGCATTTCGAGTATCATCACACCATGAACAATGTAAAAGAGAATAAATATCCAACAGGAAAACATAAGTTGGGGTGTTGTGCTGACTGACTGCTCTGTTCTCCTATTGGCTGATATTTGCATTTACATTTTAGTCCACCAATCACAGTTAAGTAAGGGATTGCTGGACGTATGCAATATGTATGACACTACCACCAAAAGGTATCGGTCTCCAGGTAAGTGACGCCTCTGGTAGGGCCCCTGGGAAGGCCCCTGAGGGTACTGCCGGCCCTTTGGGTGCCACCTCCTCTGGAAGGTCCCCTGGGGGCATGGCTGACCCTGAGGGGAGCCCCTGGGGGCATCGCTGTCCCTAAGAAGAACCCTTGGGGGCGACGTTACCCCTTGGCGTACCCAGGGCGCGCCACCACACCTGAGGAGTTCTCTGGGGCACCAGTGCCCTGAGGAGAGCCCCTGGGGCATTACAGCAAAGAAGAGCCCTGGGGGCGACGTTACCCTAAGGTCCCCTGGGGTGACGTGTTACCCCTTGGCGGTCCCATGGGGGCAATGTTACCTCTTTGCGGGGCACCTGTGGGAACTACCCTGAGGGGCCCCTGGGGTGCCACTCATTAATCTGGAGAGGTCCCCTGGGGCTCCCAAAGTCCAGAAACCTGTGGTCGCCACCACACCTGGAAGGCCCCAGGCGCCCCACCCGCCTGGCAGGCTCCTGGGATTGCTGCCACCCTTGTAAGGGCCCCTGGCGGCACCGACACCCCTGGGAGAGCCGCTAAGGGCGACGCTTTTGGTAGGGCAAATGGGAGGGCCCTAGTGTGCACTATCACTGGATTGACCGTTGGGGCAGTTGTTTTTGCACATTTAGAACAATGGGAGATATGAAAAATACTACCTCCATCGCATTTCCAGTATCATCACGACATGAAAAATGTAAAGGAGAATAATTATCCAACAGGAAAACATAAGTTGGGGTGTTGTGCTGACTGACTACTCTGTTCTCCTATTGGCTGATATTTGCATTTACATTTTAGTCCACCAATCACAGTTAAGTAAGGGATTGCTGGACGTATGCAATACGTACGAAACTACGACCTAAAGCTATATGTCTCCAGGTAGTGGAGGCCTCTGGTAGGGCCCCTGGGAAGGCCTCCAAGGGTACCGTCGCCCCTTGGGTCGCCACTGCTTTTGGATGGTCCCCTGGGGGCACCGCTAACCCCGAGGAGAGCCCCTGGGGGCATCGCTGCCCATAAGGAGAGCCCTTGTGGGCGACGTTACCCCTTGGCGGGCCCCTAAGGGCGACGTTACCTTTTAGCCGGCGCCTGGGGGCGCTACCACACCTGAGAGGTCCCTTGGGGGGCACTGGTGCCTCTGGGAGGGACATTGTGGGCGCCACCGCACCTGAGAAGGCCCCTGGGTGCGCCACCGCCCCAGGTAGGGCCCCTGGGAGCGCCGCCACCCTTGCCAGGGACCCTGAGGGCACCGACACCCCTGTCAGAGCCCCTAAGAGCGACGCACCTGGTAGGGCACATGGGAGGGACCCAGGGGGCACTATCACTGGATTGACCGTGGGGGCAGTTGTTTTTGCACATTTTGAACAATGGGAGATATGAATAAATACTCCGCCCATCGCATTTCGAGTATCATCACACCATGAACAATGTAAAGGAGAATAAATATCCAACAGGAAACATAAGTTGGGGTGTTGTGCTGACTAACTGCTCTGTTCTCCTATTGGCTGATATTTGCATTTACATTTTAGTCCACCAATCACAGTTAAGTAAGGGATTGCTGGACGTATGCAATATGTACGACACTACGACCAAAAGCTGTAGGTTTCCAGGCAGGGGACGCCTCTTGTAGGGCCTCTGGGAAGGCCCCTGAAGGTACCGTCGCCCCTTGGGGCGCCACCGCCTCTGGCAGGTCCCCTGGGGGCACCGCTGACCCTGAGAGCCCCTGGGGTCCTCGCTGCTCCTAAGAAGAGCCCCTATGGGCGACGTTACCCCTTGGCGGTCCCCTGGGGTCACCGTTACCCCTTATCGGGCCCCTGGAGGCGGCGTTACCCCTTGGCAGGCCCTTGGGGGGGCCACCATACCTGAGAGAACCCCTAGGGGCACCACTGACCCTGAGGAGAGCCCATGGGGCCATCACTGCCCCAAAGAAGAGCCACTGAGGGCGACGTTACCCCTTGGCGGTCCCCTGGGGGCGACGTTACTCCTTGGCGGTCCCCTGGGGGCGACATTAGCCCTTGGCGGGCCTCTGTGGGCGCCACCACACCTGAGAGGTCCCCTGGGGGCACCGGTGCCTCTGGGAGGGACACTGTGGGCGCCACCACAACTGGGAATGCCCCTGGGTGCGCCACCGCCCCAAGTAGGGCCCCTGGGAGCGCCGCCACCCTTGCCAGGGACCCTGAGGGCACCGACACCCCTGTGAGAGTCCCTAAGAGCGACGCATCTGGTAGGGCACATGGGAGGGACCCAGGGGGCACTATCACTGGATTGACCGTGGGGGCAGTTGTTTTTGCACATTTAGAACAATGGGAGATATGAATAAATACTCCGCCCATCGCATTTCCAGTATCATCACACCATGAACAATGTAAAAGAGAATAAATATCCAACAGGAAAACATAAGTTGGGGTGTTGTGCTGACTGACTACTCTGTTCTCCTATTGGCTGATATTTGCATTTACATTTTAGTCACCAATCACAGTTAAGTAAGGGATTGCTGGACGTATGCAATATGTACGACACTACGACCAAAAGCTGCAGGTTTCCAGGCAGGGGACGCCTCTGGTAGGGCCTCTGGGAAGGCCCCTGAAGGTACCGTCGCCCCTTGGGGCGCCACCGCCTCTGGCAGGTCCCCTGGGGGCACCGCTGACCCTGAGAGCCCCTGAGGTCCTCGCTGCTCCAAAGAAGAGCCCCTATGGGCGACGTTACCCCTTGGCGGTCCCCTGGGGTCACCGTTACCCCTTGTCGGGCCCCTGGAGGCGGCGTTACCCCTTGGCAGGCCCTTGGGGGGGCCACCATACCTGAGAGAACCCCTAGGGGCACCACTTACCCTGAGGAGAGCCCCTGGGGCCATCACTGCCCCAAAGAAGAGCCACTGGGGGCGACGTTACCCCTTGGCGGTCCCCTGGGGGCGACATTAGCCCTTGGCGGGCCCCTGTGGGCGCCACCACACCTGAGAGGTCCCCTGGGGGCACCGGTGCCTCTGGGAGGGACACTGTGGGCGCCACCGCAACTGGGAAGGCCCCTGGGTGCGCCACCGCCCCAAGTAGGGCCCCTGGGAGCGCCGCCACCCTTGCCAGGGACCCTGAGGGCACCGACACCCCTGTGAGAGTCCCTAAAAGCGACGCATCTGGTAGGGCACATGGGAGGGACCCAGGGGGCACTATCATTGGATTGACCGTGGGGGCAGTTGTTTTTGCACATTTAGAACAATGGGAGATATGAATAAATACTCCGCCCATCGCATTTCCAGTATCATCACACCATGAACAATGTAAAAGAGAATAAATATCCAACAGGAAAACATAAGTTGGGGTGTTGTGCTGACTGACTACTCTGTTCTCCTATTGGCTGATATTTGCATTTATATTTTAGTCACCAATCACAGTTAAGTAAGGGATTGCTGGACGTATGCAATATGTACGACACTTCCAGCAAAAGCTATAGGTCTCCAGGTAAGGGACGCCTCTGGTAGGGCCCCTGAGAAGGCCCCTGAGGGTACCGCTGCCCCTTGGGGCGCCACCTGCTCTGGAAGGACCCCTGGAGGCACGGCTGACCGTGAGGGGAGACCCTGGGGGCATCGCTCTGCCCCTAAGAAGAGCTCCTGGGGGCGATGTTACCCCTTGGCGGGTCCCTGGGGGCGCCACCATACCTAAGAGATCGCCTGGGGGCACCGGTGACCCTGAGGAGAGCCCCTGGAGGCATAGCTGACCACAGAAGAGCGACTGGGGTCAACGTTACCCTTTGGCGTTCCCCTGGGGGCGACGTTAGCCCTTGGCGGGCTCCTGTGGGCGCCACAACACCTGAGAGGCCTTCTGGGGCCACCGGTGCCCCTGAGAGGGACCCTGTGGGTGCCACCGCACCTGGGAAGGCCCCTGGGTGCGCCACCGCCCCTAACAGGGCCCCTGGGAGCACCGACACCCTTTGCAGGGCCCCTGGAGGCACCGACATCCCTGGGAGAGCCCCTAGGGCGACGCACCTGGTAGGGTAAATGGGAGGGACCTAGGGGGCACTATCATTGAATTGACCGTGGGGGCAGTTGTTTTTGCACATTTAGAACAACGGGAGATATGAATAAATACTCCGCCCATCGCATTTCCAGTATCATCACACCATGAACAATGTAAAGGAGAATAAATATCCAACAGGAAAACATAAGTTGGGGTGTTGTGCTGACTGACTGCTCTGTTCTCCTATTGGCTGATATTTGCATTTACATTTTAGTCCACCAATCACAGTTAAGTAAGGTATTGCTGGACGTATGCAATATGTATGACACTACCACCAAAGCTATAGGTCTCCACGTAGGGGACGCCTCTGGTAGGGCACCTGGGAAGGCCCCTGAGGGTACCGCCGCCCCTTGGGGCGCCACCGCCTATGGAAGGTCCCCTGGGGGCACCGCTAACCCTGACGAGAGCCCCTGGGGGCATCGATGCCCCAAAGAAGAGCCCCTGTGGGCGACATTACCCCTTGGCGGTCCCCTCTGGGTGATGTTACCCCTTGGCGGTCCCCTGGGGGCGACGTTACCCCTTGGCCGGCGGCTGGAGGCGCAACCACACCTGAGAGGTCCCCTGGGGGCACCGGTGCCCCTGGGAGGGACCCTCTGGGGCCACCACACCTGGGAAGGACCCTGGGTGCGCCACCGCCCCAGGTAGGGCCCCTGGGAGCGCCGCCACCTTTGCCAGGTTCCCTGGGGGCACCGACACCCCTGTGAGAGCCCCTAAGAGTGACGCACCTGGTAAGGCAAATGGGAGGGCCCTAGGGCGCACTATCACTGGATTAACCGTGGGGGCAGTTGTTTTTGCACATTTAGAACAATGGAAGATATGAATAAATACTCCGCCCATCGCATTTCCAGTATCATCACACCATGAACAATGTAAAGGAGAATAAATATCCAACAGGAAAACATAAGTTAGGGTGTTGTGCTGACTGACTGCTCTGTTCTCCTATTGGTTGATATTTGCATTTACATTTTAGTCCACCAATCACAGTTAAGTAAGGGATTGCTGGACTTATGCAATACGTACGAAACTATGACCTAAAGCTATATGTCTCCAGGTAGTGGAGGCCTCTGGTAGGGCCCATGGGAAGGCCCCCAAGGGTACCGTCGCCCCTTGGGGCGCCACCGCCTAAGGAAGGTCCCCTGGGGGCACCGCTAACCCTGACGAAAGCCCCTGGGGGCATCGATGCCCCTAAGAAGAGCCCCTGTGGGCGACATTACCCCTTGGCGGTCCCCTCTGGGTGATGTTACCCCTTGGCGGTCCCCTGGGGGCGACGTTACCCCTTGGCCGGCGCCTGGTGGCGCAACCACACCTGAGAGGTCCCCTGGGGGCACCGGTGCCCCTGGGAGGGACCCTCTGGGGCCACCACACCTGGGAAGGACCCTGGGTGCGCCACCGCCCCAGGTAGGGCCCTTGGGAGCGCCGCCACCTTTGCCAGGTTCCCTGGGGCCACCAACACCCCTGTGAGAGCCCCTAAGAGTGACGCACCTGGTAAGGCAAATGGGAGGGCCCTAGGGCGCACTATCACTGGATTAACCGTGGGGGCAGTTGTTTTTGCACATTTAGAACAATGGGAGATATGAATAAATACTCCGCCCATCGCATTTCCAGTATCATCACACCATGAACAATGTAAAGGAGAATAAATATCCAACAGGCAAACATAAGTTAGGGTGTTGTGCTGACTAACTGCTATGTTCTCCTATTGGTTGATATTTGCATTTACATTTTAGTCCACCAATCACAGTTAAATAAGGGATTGCTGGACGTATGCAATACGTACGAAACTACGACCTAAAGCTGTATGTCTCCAGGTAGTGGAGGCCTCTGGTAGGGCCCCTGGGAAGGCCTCCAAGGGTACCGTCGCCCCTTGGGGCGCCACTGCTTTTGGATGGTCCCCTGGGGGCACCGCTAACCCTGAGGAGAGCCCCTGGGGGCATCGCTGCCCATAAGGAGAGCCCTTGTGGGCGACGTTACCCCTTGGCGGGCCCCTAAGGGCGACGTTACCTTTTGGCCGGCGCCTGGGGGCGCTACCACACCTGAGAGGTCCCTTGGGGGGCACTGGTGCCTCTGGGAGGGACATTGTGGGCGCCACCGCACCTGAGAAGGCCCCTGGGTGCGCCACCGCCCCAGGTAGGGCCCCTGGGAGCGCCGCCACCCATGCCAGGGACCCTGAGGGCACCGACACCCCTGTCAGAGCCCCTAAGAGCGACGCACCTGGTAGGGCACATGGGAGGGACCCAGGGGGCACTATCACTGGATTGACCGTGGGGGCAGTTGTTTTTGCACATTTAGAACAATGGGAGATATGAATAAATACTCCGCCCATCGCATTTCGAGTATCATCACACCATGAACAATGTAAAGGAGAATAAATATCCAACAGGAAAACATAAGTTGGGGTGTTGTGCTGCCTAACTGCTCTGTTCTCCTATTGGCTGATATTTGCATTTACATTTTAGTCCACCAATCACAGTTAAGTAAGGGATTGCTGGACGTATGCAATATGAACGACACTTCCAGCAAAAGCTATAGGTCTCCAGGTAAGGGACGCCTCTGGTAGGGCCCCTGAGAAGGCCCCTGAGGGTACCGCTGCCCCTTGGGGCGCCACCTGCTCTGGAAGGACCCCTGGAGGCACGGCTGACCGTGAGGGGAGAACCTGGGGGCATCGCTCTGCCCCTAAGAAGAGCTCCTGGGGCGATGTTACCCCTTGGCGGGCCCCTGGGGGCGCCACCATACCTAAGAGATCGCCTGGGGGCACCGGTGACCCTGAGGAGAGCCCCTGGAGGCATAGCTGACCACAGAAGAGCGATTGGGGGCGACGTTACCCTTTGGCGGTCCCCTGGGGGTGACGTTAGCCCTTGGCGGGCCCCTGTGGGCGCCACAACACCTGAGAGGCCTTCTGGGGCCACCGGTGCCCCTGGGAGGGACCCTGTGGGTGTCACCGCACCTGGGAAGGCCCCTGGGTGCGCCACCGCCCCTAACAGGGCCCCTGGGAGCACCGACACCCTTTGCAGGGCCCCTGGAGGCACCGACACCCCTGGGAGAGCCCCTAGGGCGACGCACCTGGTAGGGTAAATGGGAGGGACCTAGGGGGCACCATCATTGAATTGACCGTGGGGGCAGTTGTTTTTGCACATTTAGAACAATGGGAGATATGAATAAATACTCCGCCCATCGCATTTCCAGTATCATCACACCATGAACAATGTAAAGGAGAATAAATATCCAACAGGAAAACATAAGTTGGGGTGTTGTGCTGACTGACTGCTCTGTTCTCCTATTGGCTGATATTTGCATTTACATTTTAGTCCACCAATCACAGTTAAGTAAGGTATTGCTGGACGTATGCAATATGTATGACACTACCACCAAAGCTATAGGTCTCCACTTAGGGGACGCCTCTGGTAGGGCACCTGGGAAGGCCCCTGAGGGTAGCGCCGCCCCTTGGGGCGCCACCACCTCTGGAAGGTCCCCTGGGGGCACTGCTGACCCTGAAGGGAGCCCCTAGGGGCATCGCTGCCCATAAGAAGAGCCCCTGGGGGCGATGCTACCCCTTGGCGTGCCCATGGGCGCGCCACCACACTTGAGAGCTCCCCTGGGGGCACCAGTGCCCCTGAGGAGAGCCCCTGGGGGCATTGCTGCAGCAAAGAAGAGCCCCTGGGGGCGACGTTAACCCTTGGCGGTCCCCTGGGGGTGACGTTACCCCTTGGCGGTCCCATGGGGGCAACGTTACCTCTTGGCGGGCACCTGTGGGAAACGTTACCCCTTGGAGGGCCCCTGGGGGCGCCACCACACCTGAGAGGTCCCCTGGGGGCTCCGGTGCCCTTGCAAGGGAACCTGTGGTCGCCACCGCACCTGGGAAGGCCCCTGGGTGCGCCACCGCCCCTGGCAGGGCTCCTGGGATTGCCGCCACCCTTGTCAGGGCCCCTGGGGTCGCCGACACCCTTGGGAGAGCCCCAAGATCGATGCACCTGGTAGGGCAAATGGGAGTGCCCCAGGGCGCACTATCACTGGATTGACCGTGGGGGCAGTTGTTTTTGCACATTTAGAACAATGTGAGATATGAATAAATACTCCGCCCATCGCATTTCCAGTATCAATCACACCATGAACAATGTAAAGGAGAATAAATATCCAACAGGAAAACATAAGTTGGGGTGTTGTGCTGACTGACTACTCTGTTCTCCTATTGGCTGATATTTGCATTTACATTTTAGTCCACCAATCACAGTTAAGTAAGGGATTGCTGGACGTATGCAATACGTACGAAACTACGACCTAAAGCTAAATGTCTCCAGGTAGTGGAGGCCTCTGGTAGGGCCCCTGGGAAGGCCCCCAAGGGTACCGTCGCCCCTTGGGGCGCCACTGCTTTTGGATGGTCCCCTGGGGGCACCGCTGACCCTGAGGAGAGCCCCTGGGGGCATCGCTGCCCATAAGGAGAGCCCTTGTGGACGACGTTACCTCTTGGCGGGCCCCATGGGGCGACGTTACCCCTTGGCCGACGCCTGGGGGCGCTACCACACCTGAGAGGTCCCTTGGGGGCACCGGTGCCTCTGGGAGGGACATTGTGGGCGCCACCGCACCTGAGAAGGCCCCTGGGTGCGTCACCGCCCCAGGTAGGGCCCCTGGGAGCGCCGCCACCCTTGCCAGGGACCCTGAGGGCATCGACACCCCTATCAGAGCCCCTAAGAGCGACGCACCTGGTAGGGCACATGGGAGGGACCCAGGGGGCACTATCACTGGATTGACCATGGGGGCAGTTGTTTTTGCACATTTAGAACAATGGGAGATATGAATAAATACTCCGCCCATCGCATTTCCAGTATCATCACACCATGAACAATGTAAAGGAGAATAAATATCCAACAGGAAAACATAAGTTGGGGTGTTGTGCTGACTGACTACTCTGTTCTCCTATTGGCTGATATTTGCATTTACATTTTAGTCCACCAATCACAGTTAAGTAAGGGATTGCTGGACGTATGCAATACGTACGAAACTACGACCTAAAGCTATATGTCTCCAGGTAGTGGAGGCCTCTGGTAGGGCCCCTGGGAAGGCCCCCAAGGGTACCGTCGCCCCTTGGGGCGCCACTGCTTTTGGATGGTCCCCTGGGGGCACCGCTGACCCTGAGGAGAGCCCCTGGGGGCATCGCTGCCCATAAGGAGAGACCTTGTGGACGACGTTACCTCTTGGCGGGCCCCTGGGGGCGACGTTACCCCTTGGCCGACGCCTGGGGGCGCTACCACACCTGAGAGGTCCCTTGGGGGCACCGGTGCCTCTGGGAGGGACATTGTGGGCGCCACCGCACCTGAGAAGGCCCCTGGGTGCGTCACCGCCCCAGGTAGGGCCCCTGGGAGCGCCGCCACCCTTGCCAGGGACCCTGAGGGCATCGACACCCCTGTCAGAGCCCCTAAGAGCGACGCACCTGGTAGGGCACATAGGAGGGACCCAGGGGGCACTATCACTGGATTGACCGTGGGGGCAGTTGTTTTTGCACATTTAGAACAATGGGAGATATGAATAAATACTCCGCCCATCGCATTTCGAGTATCATCACACCATGAACAATGTAAAAGAGAATAAATATCCAACAGGAAAACATAAGTTGGGGTGTTGTGCTGACTGACTGCTCTGTTCTCCTATTGGCTAATATTTGCATTTACATTTTAGTCCACCAATCACAGTTATGTAAGGGATTGCTGGACGTATGCAATATGTACGACACTACGACCAAAAGCTGCAGGTTTCCCGGCAGGGGACGCCTCTGGTAGGGCCTCTGGGAAGGCCCCTGAAGGTACCGTCGCCCCTTGGGGCGCCACCGCCTCTGGCAGGTCCCCTGGGGGCACCGCTGACCCTGAGAGCCCCTGAGGTCCTCGCTGCTCCAAAGAAGAGCCCCTATGGGCGACGTTACCCCTTGGCGGTCCCCTGGGGTCACCGTTACCCCTTGTCGGGCCCCTGGAGGCGGCGTTACCCCTTGGCAGGCCCTTGGGGGGGCCACCATACCTGAGAGAACCCGTAGGGGCACCACTTACCCTGAGGAGAGCCCCTGGGGCCATCACTGCCCCAAAGAAGAGCCACTGGGGGCGACGTTACCCCTTGGCGGTCTCCTGGGGGCGACATTAGCCCTTGGCGGGCCCCTGTGGGCGCCACCACACCTGAGAGGTCCCCTGGGGGCACCGGTGCCTCTGGGAGGGACACTGTGGGCGCCACCGCAACTGGGAAGGCCCCTGGGTGCGCCACCGCCCCAAGTAGGGCCCCTGGGAGCGCCGCCACCCTTGCCAGGGACCCTGAGGGCACCGACACCCCTGTGAGAGTCCCTAAAAGCGACGCATCTGGTAGGGCACATGGGAGGAACCCAGGGGGCACTATCATTGGATTGACCGTGGGGGCAGTTGTTTTTGCACATTTAGAACAATGGGAGATATGAATAAATACTCCGCCCATCGCATTTCCAGTATCATCACACCATGAACAATGTAAAAGAGAATAAATATCCAACAGGAAAACATAAGTTGGGGTGTTGTGCTAACTGACTACTCTGTTCTCCTATTGGCTGATATTTGCATTTATATTTTAGTCACCAATCACAGTTAAGTAAGGGATTGCTGGACGTATGCAATATGTACGACACTTCCAGCAAAAGCTATAGGTCTCCAGGTAAGGGACGCCTCTGGTAGGGCCCCTGAGAAGGCCCCTGAGGGTACCGCTGCCCCTTGGGGCGCCACCTGCTCTGGAAGGACCCCTGGAGGCACGGCTGACCGTGAGGGGAGACCCTGGGGGCATCGCTCTGCCCCTAAGAAGAGCTCCTGGGGGCGATGTTACCCCTTGGCGGGTCCCTGGGGGCGCCACCATACCTAAGAGATCGCCTGGGGGCACCGGTGACCCTGAGGAGAGCCCCTGGAGGCATAGCTGACACAGAAGAGCGACTGGGGTCAACGTTACCCTTTGGCGTTCCCCTGGGGGCGACGTTAGCCCTTGGCGGGCTCCTGTGGGCGCCACAACACCTGAGAGGCCTTCTGGGGCCACCGGTGCCCCTGAGAGGGACCCTGTGGGAGCCACCGCACCTGGGAAGGCCCCTGGGTGCGCCACCGCCCCTAACAGGGCCCCTGGGAGCACCGACACCCTTTGCAGGGCCCCTGGAGGCACCGACATCCCTGGGAGAGCCCCTAGGGCGACGCACCTGGTAGGGTAAATGGGAGGGACCTAGGGGGCACTATCATTGAATTGACCGTAGGGGCAGTTGTTTTTGCACATTTAGAACAACGGGAGATATGAATAAATACTCCGCCCAAGCATTTCCAGTATCATCACACCATGAACAATGTAAAGGAGAATAAATATCCAACAGGAAAACATAAGTTGGGGTGTTGTGCTGACTGACTGCTCTGTTCTCCTATTGGCTGATATTTGCATTTACATTTTAGTCCACCTGTTATTGCTGGACGTATGCAATATGTATGACACTACCACCAAAGCTATAGGTCTCCACGTAGGGGACGCCTCTGGTAGGGCACCTGGGAAGGCCCCTGAGGGTACCGTCGCCCCTTGGGGCGCCACCGCCTATGGAAGGTCCCCTGGGGGCACCGCTAACCCTGACGAGAGCCCCTGGGGGCATCGATGCCCCAAAGAAGAGCCCCTGTGGGCGACATTACCCCTTGGCGGTCCCCTCTGGGTGATGTTACCCGTTGGCGGTCCCCTGGGGGCGACGTTACCCCTTGGCCGGCGGCTGGAGGCGCAACCACACCTGAGAGGTCCCCTGGGGGCACCGGTGCCCCTGGGAGGGACCCTCTGGGGCCACCACACCTGGGAAGGACCCTGGGTGCGCCACCGCCCCAGGTAGGGCCCCTGGGAGCGCCGCCACCTTTGCCAGGTTCCCTGGGGGCACCGACACCCCTGTGAGAGCCCCTAAGAGTGACGCACCTGGTAAGGCAAATGGGAGGGCCCTAGGGCGCACTATCACTGGATTAACCGTGGGGGCAGTTGTTTTTGCACATTTAGAACAATGGAAGATATGAATAAATACTCCGCCCATCGCATTTCCAGTATCATCACACCATGAACAATGTAAAGGAGAATAAATATCCAACAGGAAAACATAAGTTAGGGTGTTGTGCTGACTGACTGCTCTGTTCTCCTATTGGTTGATATTTGCATATACATTTTAGTCCACCAATCACAGTTAAGTAAGGGATTGCTGGACTTATGCAATACGTACGAAACTATGACCTAAAGCTATATGTCTCCAGGTAGTGGAGGCCTCTGGTAGGGCCCATGGGAAGGCCCCCAAGGGTACCGTCGCCCCTTGGGGCACCACCGCCTAAGGAAGGTCCCCTGGGGGCACCGCTAACCCTGACGAAAGCCCCTGGGGGCATCGATGCCCCTAAGAAGAGCCCCTGTGGGCGACATTACCCCTTGGCGGTCCCCTCTGGGTGATGTTACCCCTTGGCGGTCCCCTGGGGTCGACGTTACCCCTTGGCCGGCGCCTGGTGGCGCAACCACACCTGAGAGGTCCCCTGGGGGCACCGGTGCCCCTGGGAGGGACCCTCTGGGGCCACCACACCTGGGAAGGACCCTGGGTGCGCCACCGCCCCAGGTAGGGCCCCTGGGAGCGCCGCCACCTTTGCCAGGTTCCCTGGGGCCACCAACACCCCTGTGAGAGCCCCTAAGAGTGACGCACCTGGTAAGGCAAATGGGAGGGTCCTAGGGCGCACTATCACTGGATTAACCGTGGGGGCAGTTGTTTTTGCACATTTAGAACAATGGGAGATATGAATAAATACTCCGCCCATCGCATTTCCAGTATCATCACACCATGAACAATGTAAAGGAGACAAATATCCAAC